ATGCTATCGGTAAAAAACCCTAAACTATCCTGAGAAGTAGAAGCCTGATCCAGCAAGATGCTGGAGTCCTCCTCTGTAAGCTCAACATCCTCAGCTCTCTCTAACATCAATGGGAGTTAAGAGTGTTTAGGGCAGTGGTGGGCAGGCACGGCTGCCCGCAGCTCCCATTGGCCAAGAACGGTGAACCGCTGCCACTGGGAGCTGTGGGTGGCCGTGCCTGCGGACGGTCAATGTAAAACTGTCTCGCGGCCCACCAGTGGATTACCCTGACAGGCCACAGGTTACCCACCACTGGTTTAAGGTGACCATATTTCCCAAAGAGAAAATGGGACACCCCCAGCCGCTCACCCAAGGCCCCCCACAATGCTGTTGCTGCTCACTGGAACCCTGTAGGTCCCTCCCCGAGGCAAGGCTGTTGTGCATGGCTGGAACACTGTGGGGGCCCCTGCATGCTGGAACGCTTCCTCTCCCTCCCAGCCCTGCCTCTCCCGCTGCAGGGGGCTGGCAACTCTGCTTGCCCCCCGCACGTTCTTCCGCACCACACCCTACTTTTTTGACAAAAGTGAGCCCATTTGCTCTTGCCAACTGATAAAATCAGCAAGAGCAAACCAGATAAATGCCTCCTTTTGAAAAAAAGTCGGGATGGCTGGGACAGGGCTTAAAAAAGGGACTGTCCTGGCCAAAATGGGATGTATGGTCACCCTAGTGTTCAGTACTATGCAGGATTGGGCCCAAGGAGACGTGACCATGACACAGAATATTCTAGACTTCCCTCCCACTCCCATCTGTGACATCATGGAATGCCACAGCATTTTCATTGGTTGCACAGCTCCTGACTGGGAGAACAGCACTATTGTATACAGAGCAAGAGACAGAGTATTAATGATGTCACTAAAGCAACATCAAACATTTTATAGTAAAGACAGCAATTCGACTTTCATTGTAGCTTTTACTGTCTCCAGTAAAGGCCTATTAGCAACTGAAACAAAGATTTTATTTGAGAGAGATTAGTTACAAGCTAGAGAATGTGCCACCACATTAACACTTACTTTTCTTAAGCAACAGACTCTGGACTATGGTGTAACTTCTCAAATTCTTTCTGAAGTGTTTAGCAGTATGCATGGAAGCAGTTAAACTACAAATTAGATTTCCTTGCTTTCCCATTTGCTGCTTCAGAGATAAAAGACAGCAACCATCAGGTAAGTGAAGAACAAATTTATTTGCAAGTCCAACAAAAATCTGGACTATTTGCAGATGTAGAAAAGGAAATAACAACCAAGCTCTCAAAAGTAATTATCAAACCATGTTAAAGAAGCAGTTTAAAAATAATGAAAAACACAGGAGGTAAAAACATCTATTATATCTATTATAAATAAATACTAATTACTTAACTAAATGATCATACTATGCAATAGTCTTACAACTTTATCTTTCTTTAGGAACTGTTGGTCTATCAATCCTGAAACCTAAGAGAGTCAAGGCTGATAGTCTTTGCTTCTAAATTCTCTCTGGGTTAGTACAACTGCATTTTCTACGTTTAAAACAATCCTGGTTCTTTGCCGGTCAGTGGTAGTTTGCCATTGAATCCATTAGGACCAGGATTTGGCCCAGAAGAAACATCCCCAGTCACTGAACATTGAAGCACAAGTTTAAATCTCAGTGAATGGGATTTAAGTGCATGTTTAACTTTTTTGAATTGTGCTTAAGTGAGAAAATTCATTCCTCAGTCATCAGTTGCAGGATAGTCTCTGCAACAGTTCAGCATGTCCTCATGGTACTGTTTGGGGTAACTATTTCGGTGTGTCCACAGCATTTATAGCCATGGTTATACTAGGTATGGTCCTGGGATCCAGTGTTTTAAAAAGGAAGTTTATTAATAGCCCCAACTGGCTTAATGAGAGCAGGCTCCCGGCAGGTGCCACTCTCCTGTCCAGCTTCACTCCCACTTTTGTCCTATGTCCTTAGCACTAGACAAACATGGTGGGTTAGCTAATAGCTTTTATTGGCCCCATTTCTAGTGCTGGGAGAGCCAGGCTTTGGAGCTGACAGAGCTCTTCTGGCCTGGCTCTCAACAGAAGTGGGTGGGTCCAATAAAAGCGATTACCTCGCCCACCTTCTCTGTCTGTCTGGTATCCTGGGCCCAACAGGGCAGCACCAGCCCTGCAACCACCTGCAGTGCAGCGTCCAGTCTGGTCCCGCCCAGCCAATTATTGCTGAATTTCCTGGGGGGCGACAGCCTGCTCCCCAGTAGGGGCCGAAGGAAGCGGGGGGGGGCACCCCCATAGGGCCCGGGCAGGCAAACCCAAGCGGGGTGGGTGGAGGGAGCGCGGCCTAGGCTGGGGGAGCGGCGCAGCCCCGTCGGGCCCCGCTCAGCGCCGGGTCCCCTGACTGCGGCCCGCGGGAAGGCCGGGTGAGGCCAGAGCGCTCCCGGCCCAGCCTGCGGGACAGGCAGCCGCTCCCTGGCAGCGGAGAGGCCCCTCCCCCAGGCCGGAGCCGGCCAGGCTCCCCGCCCAGCGGCTGTCTGTCAGTGGCGGAGGCTGGCGCCGCCGTCCCGCCCCTCAGCTGCTGCGGCGGCGGCTCCTCCTCCCGGCGGGCAGCCCCCGCTGTCACCGAGCGTGCGGGCCGGGCGGCGCGGAGAGCGGGTGTCCCCCTCCCCGGCGCCGCGTCCGCAGGCAGCCGGCGGGACCGGGCCGCCGTAGCCATGTTGAGGCGGATTTTGCAGCGGGTAAGAGAGTGACAGCGGCCGGCCCGGGCAGCCGCGTGGGGAGGCGGCTCCGCTTCCTGCTGCCAGCGGCGGCGGGTCAGGGCAGGGGGCAGGCGGCGCGCGTGGCCGCATGGCGCCCCGCGCTCCTGCCTCCCCAGGCCCGGCTGCTTGCGGGTCCCCGCCCTGCCCCTTCGTGGGGGAGGCGGGTGGAGGAAGCACATTCCCTGCTAGACAGGCCCCTCCTCCCCCCGAGCTGTGGGGCAGCCTGCCGGCGGTACTCCCCGGGGGGAGATTCCTCTCTCCCGTCTCCGCAGCGTCCAGTGCCAGGCAGGATCCAGGCAGTGCCCTCGTCTCCTGCCCCCCAGTCTGGGCTGGGCAGGGCCCCCTCGTGTGTCTCGGATTTGTTTCTGCCCCGCCTGGTGTAGGCCGAGGCCAGGGACTCCAATGGAGAGAGGGAGCGGAGGGATGCAGGCCCAGGACCCAGCTCCTCTCCACCTGACTCCAGCTGCAGTAGGTGGTGTCCGCCTGATGCTGGGCCGGAGGCCCGTTCTAGTGTCAAGAGAGGGTTAATGGCAGGGCTCTCTGGCAGGGACGTGTCTCTGCTGGGGTTGGGAGACATTACTCACTCTCCGAAGTCTTGTGTTATTAAACATACATTTCTTACATCTCCCTCTGAAGCTCTCCGAGCCATTATACGCTAACACACTCACAGAAGATCAAAATAAACTCAAGTCACACTGATAGCTCATCTCAATTGATTGGCCTCTTACAATTGGTATGCGTACTTCCACCTTTTCATGTTCTCTGTATGTATAAATATCTTCTGTCTGTGTGTTTCACTCTTTGCATCTGAAGAAGTGAGCTGTAGGCCACGAAAGCTTATGCTGAAATAAATTTGTTAGTCTCTAAGGGCTTGTCTATACTTACGCGCTGGTTCAGCGGCTGGCAATCGAACTTCTGGGTTCGATTTATCGCGTCTTGTCTGGATGCGATCAATCGAACCCAGAAGTGCTCCCCGTTGTCTCCGGTATTCCTGCTTGCTGCGAGGAGTACACGGAGTCGACGGGGGAGCCTGCCTGCCGCGTCTGGACCGCGGTAAGTTCGAACTAAGGTACGTCGACTTCAGCTACGTTATTCACATAGCTGAAGTTACGTACCTTAGTTCGATTTGGGGGGTTAGTGTAGACCAGGCCTAAGGTGTCACAAGTACTCCTGTTCTTTTTGCGGATACAGACTAACACGGCTGCTACTTTGAAACCTGTCAAGTCACACAGATTCTGTAACTCAGACCCACAGTAATCCTGGGTAGTATATTTCCATCCTACTCCCCTCTGGGCTCTGGTTAATAAATAAACTCTAAAGTCAATTGAAATACAAATGTAAGCCAGGATACCAAAAACTACCAGTCAGCTGTCTCCTATTTTAGGAATTGGTTCCTGTGTAACTTTAGATAGGTTTAAAAATCAACTTGTGCTATTTGATTCTGAACCCTGTCTCTCGTTCTGCTCTCATCTGCCTTTAAAAAAATCTCAATTGTTTACCTTGCTACTATGTTGTTGTGTTACCTGCCCTAATAGGTTGTTTGTGATTTACATGGATGTTGACCATGCAATATTATGTGCAATAAAAAATAGATGACAAACATGGTTGTCAAAAACATTTGGTTTCCACTGGAGTTGAATAACTGGTTCAAAGTGCACAGGGAATGCCTTCATCTTTAGTGTTCAGCATTGGGATGTACAGAATAGAGTTGAGTCACCCAGCTAGTTGAAAGGGTGTGCTCTAATTCCTGCATAACTTTCTTGCAATGTCAGTGTCATGTAGAACTTAGTCATGTATAAGTGGTGAAAATAGCCAACTTTGGTATTTGACACCAGCTTTGAAAATTGCCTGTTTTCACAAGCATATTTGTGAAAGGGTTTGAAGGCTTTTGAAGTTGTTCTAATAATACTCTATGTAAGGAACATGTATTGCAAGAATGATAATAAATCCTTGTTATATGTGAAGGAAGGATATCTGTGTACATGTTGGTGTACTTTGAAGTGTGGGGTGACTGATTTTTCTTGTGCCTCAGACTGTATTTCTGCCATAGTTTCTAATCAATCAAAGTTTTTCCTTTTGCTTATTTAAAAGTTACTGTTTACAAGGAATAGTTTCCTGCCTGAAATATGATTTCCCAAAGAATTAATAAGGTAACAGCAAAAAACAGGGAAACTTTACTTCTGTGCTGATCATTTTAGGTATTATTAACATTAGTTGATTTTTTTATTGATTCTGAGAAATGATCTGCTGTTTAGAAAAACTTACATGGTTGTTGGAAATGTGGCCCAAAATATAAATTTAAGTAACATGATCTTTTATAAAATCTAAGGCATATATAAATGTTCCCACATTTTTAAAATTTCAGCGAAGACCGTTGTTTTTAAACAAATAAACATTCCCTTGTCATTTTTGAAACTCAAACTAGAACTAACTGTGAGCAAAAATGAAACTGATTTCATTCATTTTTATTGTTTAAGTAGAAGGAAATACAAAATATAAACGAGGCATAGTGACTATGTGAACCTTTCTTTTTCTTTGTTATTAGTAACATAGATAAATAAATGTTTGCTTACAACACATGATTAAGTTCACAGTGTCCCTTTAACAGAAAATTATGTTAAAATTATACAAACAGTTGTATTCATGAGTTACATTAGAAGCAGCTCCTGGTATGTGATTAGGGCCCTACCAAATTCATGGTAATGAAAAATACATCACAGACCGTGAAATCTGGTGCCCATCTTGGGTTCCTACCCTGCACAGCACTCCAGCTGCTGGTCCCAGCAGGGGATGGGGAGAGACAAGACTTCCTCTTTCCCTACATGGGCCACTCCTGGGGTGGGTCAGACCCACCTCTGGGAATCTGTCTGAGCTGCAGGAAGCTGCACGACTTGAGCTGTCCCCTTCCCCCATGCGGAGAGGCTGTGGCTTGAACCGTCTCTCTCTCCCACACACACACCTGTGTGGAGAGGCTGCAGCTCCAGTTGTCAGCCATCCATGCTGCTGGGAAAACTGAACATATGGTAACTCCCACCCCCACCCCATTTCTGCACTGATGCTGGTGGTGATGGTCCTGGCTTTAGAGCTGGGTTGCTGGCCAGCTCTGAAGGCAGCACCCCTGCCAACAGCAGGGCAGAAGTAAGGGTGGCAATCCCACAATCTCCCTACAATAGCTTTATGGACACCCCCACCCTCCCCCGACTCCTTTTTTAGTTGGGACCTCCATGGTTAGAACACCTGAAATTTCAGATGTAAACAAATGAAAACATGAAATTGACTAATTTTAAAAAAAACCCTGGCCATGAAATTGACCAAAGTGGACCATGAATTTGGGAGGGCCCTATACTGAGTTGACAAAATATGAGGAAGACTCCTGACTTGCACTGGAGTTAATAACTATCCATAATTTTGTGCTTAGATTGTATGAATACATACTAGAAGTATACACTTTAAAAAGTGAGATATTATGTTTTGAACTGGCTAATTTAAAGCATGTATTGGTTTCTTCTATGCTTTTAAGCGTGTGATATTTGTACACATTTGATTAATAATGAAGTTTAAAATTACACACATTTTGCAGTCACTGAAACAGGTATATTTGCAATATTTTTTTCTTTGTGTCCATAACTTGAATTTGGTTAATGCTTTTTTTCCTAAGCCAACAGGTAGTCACGACTAATAGTATATCATGAATCCTGAAAGTGTGTAACATAGGGAAATCTCCACCTTTGTAACCTTTCACTTTGCATAGCAATTATAAAACAACAGCAACTGAAGCTGCAAAAGCACTGTTTCATGCACAATTGTGATCTTTTTCTTTGAAAAGTATCCTTTCAGTTTTTTTGATAATAGAAAGTAAACAGAATACTGATTACTATTCATCGTAGTTTTTGAAGTTGGCATAACCAATAAGGGATGCGTGTCTTTTTTCATTCCCCCTCTTTTTTAGCCAAGATGTTGTGTTGGATATAATGATTTAGTCATCTGTTGTGTATTGCATCCTGTGTCTTATCTGTTTTTTATATATTGTCTATTAGGCTCCGTTTCTGCAATCAGGTTTGGATGGATGGACCCTTGCATTCATATGGAGCCCCATTGACTTCGTTGGGTCTCCATGTGGATGCAAGGTTCTGCCTGCATGGATCTCATTGCAAGATGGGGGCTGAGGACTTTGTCCTTTGAGGCAGGAGCTGTTTCATTTTACCTGTCTGTAAAGCAGCTGGCATTCTTCAAAATAAGTAAATTATAATATTATACAGTACACAGTGTTTCTAGGATGTGAATTAGTTTAAGTAATAGCATTGTGTAATTAATTTCAGTGGATAAAAAGTGATGTACTGAGGGCTTGGAATGATCTTATGTGATGTTAGTTTGAAATGTGAAATTACCTTTTAATAACTTGAAAATAGTCCTTTCTCACTAAAATTCTAAAGGAAAAATGTTTGTGATTAGGTTTCTTCTTCTTCTTTTAAAAATAGCACACACAACTAGTAAAATAAAGGAACAAAGCTAATGTCCTGAAAATTGTTCAGGAGCAGAGACTTAAGCAATGCTGTCTTTTTATATTTTGATTCTTGCATTTAATATTTGTTAGGGAATTCAGAATGATTGAACAATAGAAGCCTTATGCTGTATTTAAATCTCTGCTGGGAAAATTGTGTAACTTCATGTTCGTATATTGTTTTTTCATTTATTTTTAAAGAGGTTGAGTTAAATCTAATTTGAAAAATGTTTTAAAGGGTACTGCTGATAAATTTGAGTACAGCTATACACAGAGAAGTGACTGTAAAAGTGACATCGTGGGAACCCATGTTTATATTCTCAGTGATTTCATGAGATGTACTAGGTTTCCAAATTTAAAATAAATAAGTAAATATATGTAAAGCATCACCTGATTTTCAAAAGGGAAACTGTTCTCTTCCCCTTCTTTCTTTGTTGTTGGTGGTCATGTTTCTGCATTTGGTTAGCTTCCAGTTTTG